AAGGACTCGTCCAAGCAGTCACTGCAGGGTCAGCAATGACTGAGCGCAGACAAAAAAAAAAAATGAGCTTGGTTTACCATGGAAAAGCAGTAGAAAAATAAAGAGAAGAAGAAATCAACAGTAGAGTTGGTCCAATAATCTAAACAGCTAATCATATTTCCATTAACAAAATCTTCCCCAAAAACTGGGTTCAACTAGCATAATTTTAGAGGAAAGAAGAAATACAAAAAGGCTGGCAGGAAACAGACCCACCTTTTCAGCTGCATGAATCAATGCAGTTGTTCCATTTTTTTGTCTGCAATTAACTTTAGCTCCTTTCCGGATAAGAAGTCGAAGGATGTCATCATGACCTCCTGCAGCAGCCAGCATCACCAGAGTCATTCCACTAGAATCCTGCAACCATAATTTATAATGGTTGGTTATCAATAAAAATATCTTCCTAAGAAGTAACTTTGATTATTGAGGAACAGATGTACCACTTGGTTACCACAAGGTAGCAGCAAATGAACTGTGCTGAATCAAAAATAACCTTCCATCTAATTACAGTATTGTGCTGCTAAAGGAATCAAATGGTTGCTTACAGGATACTCACAAGCATTACACAAGTTAAAAAATCATTACAACTTCTGATCCTGAATTTCAGAAGAGGTATTTTGTGCTCTGCTAAGAGTGAAGGGGAAAATCTTTTCTGTGATATTTACCATTTTTTGATATATCGGGTGTTTTGATGTACTAAAATGTATTTTTAAATAAAAATACATTGGCTGATTAAACTGGAACACTTTTTAGATGAGCAAAAATTTGTATTAATACAACTGATATACACATTTGTTAAATTTATAAACTAGGAAGTTAGTCATGCTAAAGTAAAGCCCACTCTATTCAATGTGAACACAAAGAGATTTGTGCTGTAGAGATTATAATCTTAACATTATGCAACACATAATCATGATCCAGTATCTTCAAATATATTTCTATTTCAGAAGATTAAATTCTTACCGTATGATTATAAAAAAATAAATAAGGCACTCTATTAAAACATACCTCCTGTTCGAGATTATATTCTTCATTTGAATTAAGTGCCATCTTTGCCATAGTATAGTTCCCATTTTTAACAGCATCTCGCAGCTGAGCTAGAAAAGAAGACATTCAACAGGAATCAGCATATTTAAAAAATGGAGATATCAAGTTGTTCAGTCTCTTCATGTTACTCACCAGATGATATCACATCACTTGACAAGTGCTCTTCATCTTCTCCATCAAGATGTTTCTGAAAGTCCTCTAGTGATAGCCATTCTAACTGCATGTCCATGCCCAAACTCACAGTCTGTTGCTTTGTATCTACCATGTTAGGAATTTTAGAAGAAAAGGAAAAAAAAGTTAATCTTCTCATCATCAAATCAATGATATCTACAGACATGTATCGTTTCTTCCCACTTTGCATTTGAATTTTTAGCGCAGAGCAGCTATTTCAATCATTCTGAAAACTTTTCAAGTTTGAAATATGTCCCAAATGATTCAAACAGACCGTAAGCAGCTGTCTCACACTCAAAACAACTGTTTTGAACTCAGAATGAAATGTTTTATACATGAAATGATTTGAATTCACATCCTGCTTATTATCTCTGTAAAGTCAATTAGAAAATTCACAGCATTTGAATCTTTTGTGGAATAAATATGACTCAAGCATGCTGGAGTCAAACATAAGTAATAAATGTATATTGTATTCCTAATGTACATATTTCTTCCAATGGCCCATCTCTTTCCTATAAACAAATCCATAAAGCGTCATCATTTCAGTCCTGATGTCAGCAAAAGTCCATTAAGGGTTACCAGAATAACAAGGTATCTATTTTAACCTCAATCAAATAAACCAACTTTATATTCCTTCCTTTTATTTCTAACAATCTTAATCTTTAGTCCATTCAAATAATATTGTTGAACTTGCTTTTTTTTCATTTTTTTCTTTATCCTTCTCACAAGATTCTTCGAAACTTAAATTCTCTTTTGTAAATCCAATATAGGAAAATTATCCAGGTCACTCCCTCTTAGTTTATTGTTTGTATATCCCTTTTAATTTTTAAAACATCAGCCAGTTTCTTTTGTATGTCCAGTGTAACATCCTTTTCCATGTCATTCTTGTAGCATGTCCTTTGCAAATCTACTATGCATTCAATCTTGATCTTGTCAGGTAAAACTTGTTCCCCTTCCATAACATCTTTTAGACAGTGTCTCCATAGAGGCAGATGTCTCTGTTAACACAATTAATATTAACTTCTGAGTCAATTTTTCAAAAATATTCTTCAAAATGACCAATGTTAAAATATTTTCCTTCATTCTGTAGTTGCAAGTTGAGTTTTTGTCTTCTTCTCCTTTAATTGTAATCTTTAGTTCCCTCTAGTGTCCAATTTTGAAAATCCGATCTTACTATTTTTTTTTTAATTCAAAACAAAAGCATTTTCCCACAAGAAGAATTCTTTATAATTAATTCCAAAATCTTACTTCAAATTTATCTGGACCCCTAGTCTGTTTGTAACTTTCTAAAATCAAAGTTTTAATCACCCTTTTGCTGTTTATCCCCAAAAAATGCTTTTATGTTCTTAAACTTGTAATTAAAATTTTCTGTTGCTAGGAATTGAAAGAAACTCATCCAGTGCTATCCAACTTGCTGATCCAAAGACTTCTAATAGCTGAAAAGCAGTTAACAAGCAATTTCTGAAAGTGATTAGAAAAGGAAGTATGCGAACTTAGTGTCCTTTCAAACGTGCTGACCGCAGTTTGAGCAAGATGGTTATTCCCTAGTCTCCCAGTGCTCTAAACCACCCAGGGACTTGGTGGACTCCTTATGAGGAGCAGCTCTCTGGGGCACTTGTGGGTGATCTCAAGTCCTCTTCTTGCCCAAAGAGGTTTCAAAGAACTGGTCCACTCACTGGCTCTTAATTCCGCCTCTGTTGTCCACCATTTCCTCCTCCAGAACTTGAATCCCTAATAAACTCTATTTGATTCAATTTCCTTTTTTACAGAAAATTTATAATCTGCCAGTGTTGAAACCATGGAAGTTTTCATCTAAACTAAACTAAATTTTCTACCTTTTAAAGAAGTGGCCACTTGCATAAAAGGAGAAAAACTTGTCCATTTTATACTGCTTCCGTGCCTTACAGCAAAGTGTGCAACTTTTAGGCCTGAGAGCTGCCTAAGTCCTTTCCAAAGCCTTAGTTGCAGCCCCCAGAGAGCTTTGGTGCAAAACTATGCAATGTGATTCAAGAGGGAAACTACTAAATATATGAGTGCAGAGCAATCACATTAAACAATTAGCTTTTGAACCACTGACTCAGCACATCACTCAGAGGCCAAGATTGTCTGAAGACAAATTAAATGTGTCATGTCTGATCATTGATGCTATTTGAAACGTATCTTAGAACACATTCTCCTAATCTTATCTCAAAGCTTCAGAAAAGCAGCTGTGGAATTAATTTTTCCTATAATGTAGATTATCTTCCTTGGCCATCTATGGTAGTGCGTGAAGTGGCAACTCCTAGTAACACTGTACTAGTTTATATGCTGAATCTTTCTCAGGCAGATGGAACTAAAAAGGAACTCCAACTCCCCAAGCTGTACAATTATAATTGTTAAGTTTAGGGACTGCCAAGCTGCCATTTGTTTTCTAACCTGCACTAAGCGCACCTGAATTTTCATCCCCATAAAAATGACAATAATAGTTTGCTGAGCTTTAATTTCTTAACCATCATGACTAAAAAACTGGAAATCTTTCTATATTTTTTGCTGAAAGCATGTAGAGTTGTATCTGTTCAACCAATAACACAAATCCCTTCTCAACCTTAGTCTAACCCCCTCAAAAATGGGTGTATATCCAAAATATACAGAAAGGTCCACAGAGGATTTTTGTCTGGTTCTGGGGGACATCTGACTTACAAGTGACAAATAATATAGTGGATAAAGAAAGCTAGAATACTAAAAGAAAGAACAAGATACTGAGCTTCTGAAATTAAATAGGTAAGGATTCTTCAAAGGTCACCTTGAGACCATTGTGCTGGACCCCTTACCTATTCATTGATCTCAGTGGACAACCATCTGAAATGATCTTTTGTCCCCAAGACACATTTTCAACTTACCAGAACTGTCCTCATTTACATCATGGTCACTCTCTGCTGCAATATATGCCCAAGTATCGGTCTCATCTCTGGTGGTCCTGCTATATACCTGCTTATCTTTTAATCTAAATTCATCTGTGGATCTAGAATCATGCACTGACTCCTCCTTTTTTCGACTGTCCAAATATTCATTTTTTTCTTCTGAACAGATGCTAAACACATCAAATGCACTCTTGATCTCTTTCAAACCTAGAACAAGGAAATTATATTTTATGGGCCATATAACAGAGGGATATAATTATTACTTTAAGTTTAGCATAATACAAACGATATATAAAAGTGGGAATCACCTTTCTTTACAATATGCATATACAAAAACTTTGCAGAGTCAAGGGAATTTTAAGCTTTTGAAAGGCCTTCAAGAATTCCTTAGAACTGGGAAAAACTAGCAAAACATCACTTTACAACTATTTGTTATAGTATTTTTATGAGTTCACTTTTTAAGCAAGTGGGATCATTTTGCTCTCACTGTTAGCTTCAAATAAATTGTCATATGTATTGTTGATTCACAGGATAACCATCCCACATTGTTCCTAAGTCTGCTACTACAGGGAGAACTAAGCCATCTAGTGTGATCAGCTCAGAGGGGCATGCTGAGAATTCTCCATCACCCAGTGAGAACAGAAGGAGGAGAGGGACAGATAGAAAACACTTATTTTTGTGCTATGCCTCCTGGCTATGGAACACCTTTGGAGATCTGAAAGGCACCCTCCTGTATTTCAGTCAGGAAGGGAATCAAGACGTTTTTCATACAGTCTAATATTTAAGGTACTGTAGTGATGCTTTGATGCCAGGGTATGAGCCCGTGCTTTAACATATTTAAAACCATTTCCAGATTATTTAGTTCTTCAAATCAGTTCCTGGATAGGTTTAATTATAAAACTTTAAAATCTCATACCACTACTTGCAAAGATGTTTTCATCAAGACTAACATCCTAATCAATTTTCCAACATACTGTGAACTGGAATCTAAAAAGACAGATCAAAATATTTGCAAGTATTATTTTTAGTGTTCCTTTCTATATTTCTCTTTAAGTTTCCAGCACAATTCTTTCCCCAAGTTCACCTTATTTCCTTGTACAAAATCACTTTAATACAAATTTGTTTAGATTTCACACACAAAAAAGTAATTCAAACTTTATATTGCAGTATAACAAATATATTAACTTTTCACATTCTTATCATTTATAACATAACAACAGCTGGGAGAAATTAGCTAAGTTTCATATTCCTCCCATTTTTTATATTCACTCTTCTATACTGTTTCATTCTTTCATAGCTTTTATTCACACAACTGCTTAAAAAAATGTGTCATTTTATTCTTTCTTTTTTAACTATGCCCCAAGGTCTCTTCATTTCTCAGTTCCTTCAAGCTGCTTCAGTCTTATGTTTTCAACTTTTTTCAACAAAGCTGCTTTTGTTTCTCCAGTTTGTAAGTGTTACAACTTTTATTATTTCTTTCACCAGAGTTTCATTAGCTGGATCCTATTGTTTTTGAAACAAAACTACTCATGGCATATCATGTCAATATTTTTGATATCAACAGAAATATACTAAAATAATTGTTATCCTTTTGCTTCTTCCAACAAGGATCCAATCATTTTTCTTCTATCTCTGAGGACAGACTTCTACAAGGTGAAGCATGTCTCCACTGAAAACAACATCAAACACAAAGACCAGTATATGGCATTCTGATGATCAATTGCATAAGAAAGAATAAGAATTTGCAGCATAAATCTCTGATTTATGACATTTGGGAAGCAAATCTAATAGCAATACAAAAATCATGCAAAAAGTGTGGCAGCTATCAGCATATATAGTCAGTGATGACTGTCCAAAATACTGTTCAACAGCATTTTGTTATTCAGAAGCATTCACTGGATCTTGTGAAGATTCTATCATGTTTTCACCTCATCTTTTTCTAACTTACATTGTTCCAAAGATTATAACCTTCTTTTATAGAAAGGGTGGAAAAGGTTATCTTGGTTATCTTGGTTTAAATGCACTACATTATTGGCCTTTGATTTTTGATATCTTTCCAAATTATCTACTTTAATTACAGTAATCTGCTTTAATTATATTTAATCAATTTATGCCCCAAACCAAGACATTTCCACTGAGTCATAAGCTAAACTAAAGGCTTCAAACTATATTCTGCACTATTCTACTTAATTGAAAAAAGGCAAGGTACTAATCAAAATGAAGAACCACCTTTAAAAACAGTCTCCTGGATAAGTTTTTCTTTTTGCATTTTCAGAGTGAGGGAAAGAAAGATGAAATACAACCTGTACTGTAATACCTAATTTCAAAGCTAATACTGTATATACCCAAATTAATTCACTTTCCATATAGTTTACCAAAGACCCCTCCATAATAAGAAATTAATATTACCAAATGAAGACAATAAGGAAATACCATGCAACAACTTTATGAAATTTAAGCAGATTAGAATATTAGATAAGAATGTATTTAACATACTGGATAAAACAAGATTTAAATTCATGTAACAGGAGAGGTGAAAGCAGATTTATCCACATTCCTTTATGGCCATGATAGCCCTTATACATTATCAGCAATTACAGTGGGGCAAAAAAGTATTTAGTCAGCCACCAATTGTGCAAGTTCTCCCACTTAAAAAGATGATAGAGGCCTGTAATTTTCATCATAGAGGCCTGTAATTTTCACCTCAACTATGAGAGACAAAATGAGAAAAAAAATCCAGAAAATCACATTGTCTGATTTTTAAAGAATTTATTTGCAAATCATGGTGGAAAATAAGTATTT